ATGCGTGGCTTAACATACGTCACGCACTCCATTGCTCTTATTGGTTGTAGGTCTATCCAATTGAGTGCAGAGGCATTTTTTTTCCTGGTTCGTTCGAAACACGCCCCATAATCACAGCTCTATGGAGCAGCATCAGACTCATTCTGACTAGAATTGAGTAGGACTACGTCAGGCTAGGTGCTAGTGCCGCTCCACTTTGAACCCGCTACTGGTGAATCCCTGAGCAAAGATCTGTTCCATATATGGACTCATCTTTCTCATTTCTCCTTGTCTTCTTTCAGCCCAACTCTTCACACACTGTTTCTCCTCTTCTCCAGGTTCTCCACATGTTCCCACAGCGTCGCTAATGTCATCTCATATTTTTCGACATTTAAGGATCTATCCGACACTCGCTGTTAGGTTTCCTTTAATCTCACTTGAAGAGTCTTTAAGCTCTCTGTCGGCCTCTGCTGCCACCAAGTGCAATGCGGCGCTCATTGTTGGGATGTCTTCCATGGCGTTGCCATCAGCATGTTCCTCCTCAGTACAGCTGGAGATCTTCATGGTGTTAGCAGAAGTGCTCTCAGGCGTTGGGCTGCTTCATCTTGCTAGCTTCTTGTTGCCAGACCCTTGAAAAAGTTGCCTTTGTTATTCAGCATTTCTTTGAGAAATGAATATCTGGCCCCTTATGATGATTTTAGAGTATGATGCATCACAGATATTCAGCCCTCGACAAATTAAGAGCTTTATATTCCACATATATGTGGAAAACGGGTTGTCTGCTCCTGGAGCTCTGCTAGTGTCCACCATCTTCCTCGAGGGACTCCCCTTGATGGCTTTTTAATCAGTGAGGTAGAACTGGACTCCGAGCCTCAGACGAAGGATGGTTTAGGGTTCACTTCCTGGGTTTGTCCTTTCAGGCCTTGGTGATTAGTAACGCGGCACGGCGCACATCGACGGTGGGAGAAATTGTCAACCTGATGTCTGTCGATGCTCAGCGGTTCATGGACCTGGTCACCTACATCAACATGGTGTGGTCTGCACCGCTGCAGGTGGTCCTGGCCCTCTACTTTCTCTGGCAGGTAAAGCGACCCAGAGACTCGGAAGCCTTCCTGGAAGACCTGAAAGTACCAGATAAGGACCAGTCACTCCTCTCCTTGTTTCCTCCTCTTCTTTACAGAATTTGGGTCCGTCTGTGCTGGCAGGAGTTGCAGTGATGGTTCTGATGGTTCCGATTAATGCCGTTATTGCCATGAAAACTAAAACCTACCAGGTAGGCCTTCCTCCGGCCATGATGGACTGAGGACGAGGCGGCGCCACAGCTGAGTGCTCTACTTGTGTTGAACAGGTAGCCCAGATGAAGAGCAAAGACAGCCGCATCAAGCTGATGAACGAGATGCTGAACGGCATCAAGGTGCTGAAGCTCTATGCCTGGGAACTGGCCTTCAAGGACAAGGTGTCTGAGATCCGGGAGAGCGAGCTGCGCGTGCTGAAGAAGGCTGCATACCTGGGCGCCATATCTACCTTCACCTGGGTGTGCGCTCCCTTCTTGGTGAGTCTCTGAATGAGGCACCGCTGCATCGTCCCTCTTCTTCTTCTCTGAGTGCTTCCTCTGCCCTTCTCTCCAGGTCGCCCTGTCCACCTTCGCCGTTTATGTGCTAATCGATGAACGGAACGTGCTGGATGCTCAGAAGGCCTTCGTGTCACTGGCGCTGTTCAACATCCTGCGTTTTCCTCTCAACATGCTGCCCTTTGTCATCAGCAGCATTGTTCAGGTGGGTTTGCTAACCCTAACTATAGAGATAGATCAGGATAACCTGAGCCAGTCTAACTAGAAGCTTTATCAAAAAGGAAAGTTTTAAGCCTAGCCTTAAAA